CCCCCCCCCCCCCCCGCCATCCCATCTGCAGACCCGCCATCCTTCGCAAGGACTTCATCATAGACGAATACCAGCTCCTGGAAGCGAGGGCAAACGGTGCGGACACGGTGCTGCTGATCGTGGCCATCTTGGAGGTGGACAAGCTGTACGCTCTCATCCAGGCGTGCCGCGCGCTCGACATGGAGCCCCTGGTCGAGGTATGTGCAACACCATGTGCCGCGGCTGCTGCCGTTGTTTGTTGTCCTTCCTGTGGGTGGTGGGTATTGGTGGTCGCTGATTGTCGTCGTTTTTTGGTGCTGGGTGCCGACGCTGATCGTAGTTGGTGATTGGTGTCGGTTGTTGATGGCGGTTGCTGATGGTGGTTGGTGTCTTTGTTGCCGGTGTTTGGTCACGGTCCGTATGGTATTTCCTTACCTCGCGCATCCTGTACTGCTGCTGTGTCAATACAACCGCGTTTTTTGAAAGGTGCACACCGGCAACGACATGAACCCCAACCCTCCTAAACATGAACTTTGAGAGGTCGACACCAAAGGACCCCCCCGCCCCCCTCCTAAACATGTACTTCGTATCATTTTGGTTTGAAGGTCCACACGGACGAGGAGATGAGGATCGCGCTCGAGGCGGGCGCTCGCGTGGTCGGGGTGAACAATCGCAACCTGCACACGTTCGAGATGGACCTCGAGACTACGGAAAGGGTGGCGCTCGTGGCGGCGGCCATGGGGGTGCCGTGGCAGGTACGGACGGTGGAGATGGGGGGGGGAGAGAGAGGGAGAGAGAGAGCGAAAAGTCAACCAAAAAAGCAATTACTCTTTTTTGTTAGTTTGTAAGTTTCGAATCTACAAAATCAACCAAAGGGCAGGCGTGCACATTTCCGTCTGTGGTGGAGATGGCTGTGAGAAAACGTGCGACGGAAGCTGAGATAGGATGAAGAGCACGCGTGTCACTTTTGCGGAGAGTTGTTTGGACAAGGTCCACGAGCACATCATCACCCCCAAAACGTACTCTTTTGTTTTGTCGCCTTATATGACCCTTGTCTCTCTCTTAGCTGTAAATCTATCTGGTCTGCCTGTCTGCCTGTCTGCCTGCCTTGCCATCCGTTCATCCCTCCGTCCCAGCAGCATACAGTACGGCTGCGCACAACCAACTTTGCCCTTTCGTCTATTATTGTTTTTTTATGGTTTCGTCGGAGTCAGAATCCAACCGAGAGCTGGACGAAGGACAGGATAGTTTTGTCGGCGCTGAGTGGAATCACCGGGCCTGAGGACGTAAAGCGGTGAGACGGGATCGTATTGATCGCTCCCGGGGGGGGGGGGGGGGGGGGGGGGG